TGTTTGAATACACCGGCACAGTAACGAGCATCACATTCCTGTTCTCAATCGTCGCTGTGCTGAAACCGCTCCCAACGCCTTTCTCATTTCCCTTGTGTTTGTTGCCCCACACGCGCGAGAGTGTCCCGAGTGCCTCCGTCCACGAATCCCCCTTGTCACCGGACTCGTACACCCTGCGGCGGCCATCATCACACGCAGTCATCATCATGAGTTTTCCCTCCTTCCACTCCACGACGGAGGGATCACTGCAGCCACCGTCAGACATCCCCTTCGACAGATTCCCACTCTCATTGGCTGAGGAGTATATGATCAGCGAAACGGCCTTTCCATCCTTCTTCGTGCCTTCCACGGGAAACACAATCGTACCGTCCTTCATCTTAACACCCGATCCACCGCCGCCAATCAGCCGTGTCAAGGATTCGTGTTTTTCAAAATCAGTCAACGAGATAACGAAAGCGTCTTTCCAATAAAATTTTTTACCGCTGCTCCCATCATTACTGACTCTTCCCACAGACCCAAAAAATCCCCACTTAGCTGCTGCGGCTGTGTTACCAGCAGTTCCAGTAACTTCAAAACTGTAGTTTCCAGCAACCATGTAAATACGACTCCCATTCACAACTGTTGTTGGCCGGCTCACACGTACTTTTGTCCGGCTTTGGGAAGCAGAAGCCTCCTGAGCTCCTGTTTGAGAGGCACAACTGTTATTTCCGGCAGGACATTCCTCCAGTACTTGTGTCTTCAGTTTATTTGTATCCAATTCTTTTGATTCTTTATCGGTCCACTCCAGGAGCTCCGAGGCAATCCCAGTAAAGAAATCGCCTTCTCCCTCCTTCAACTGCGCCTCGGCAACGGCAAACACGCCACCATTCACCTCAACAAGACTGGGAACACGGAGCAAACTCAATGTTTCTCCTTTCGCATCTCTCCACCCGAGAGATGAACTCGGTGAATTTCCCTGACCTTGTGCTGTCCCTGAAGCACTGTTCTCCGCGAGTGCAGCTCCACCACAGGGGCCGCAGCACATCATCACGACGAGGAGGAGCAGCACCGCGGAAGTAAACACGTGCCAAGACATGTTGGGCCTCCGCTGCTCACTCTCCCTTCCTTCTGTCCTCCTTCCGCTGGATCCGGTCACGCGGCGACGGTTGTGTGTGCGGGGTGCCTTCACAGCAGCAACACGTGAGAGCATATAAATATGTGTGTGTGGGCGGTGTGTGTGCTGTTGGTCCTTTCAGAGCCTTCGAATTTCACAGTAGCGTTTAGCGCTTGTTTGCTTTCTTCGTAAGAGAGTGAAAAAAATGAAGAAAAACGGGCTAATAAAATATGGGTGAAAAAGTAAGCACTGCCACCGATCCACAGTAAGTGGCACCATCATCCCCGCCGCAGTCACTCCCAACAACAACAACTCACGCACACAGACACACGGAACAGGAGACGGAAGAACAGTGCACCGGAAACACACAGCGACTGCCACCACCAGCAGCAGGAGTCACGGCGGGTGGGCAATTATTCGTCACACACTGAGCGACGCCCACACACGAAAAAAACAACCAGCGGAATGCAAAAGAGCACAACGGCCCTTCGAATCACCGACACGCTGCCGCCCGTCGTTTAATTCGTGTCCCTCCATCGCACCCGCTCCGCCGCTGGCGCACATCACCCCGCACAGCCCGAGGTTCTCCTGTCGACGTATCCACAGCCGCAGTGATGCGTCGACAGTTGCAACTGCTAAGCAAGAATCCATCCGCACATGTCCCAGGCACCCAAAATGCCACACTACTCATCGGCCGCACGTTGCCAACATCACGCCCACAACACATCGGAAACATTCAAATCACGGGCTCCCGTCCTCCCTCCTCGCGAGATGCCGCACCATGGCAGCACGTCAGCGCGGCCACCCACGCCAGAAGCTACCGCTCGCAACAGCATCTAATGTGCCGTGCGGGCCGCACACAACTCCCCGCATCATGCGAGATCAGCCCCCACCCACGCACATCATCGCCAACGCGACGCAGTCCGCAACAACAAATACGGCAAAAAGAGTCCCCACGCCACCCACAGCAGGAACATCGGTGCCGCACACACAACACCAAAAAAAAAAAAAAGCAGCGCAGAAGCGAGCCGACACGCACACCTCCACACGCACGGCATAGAGCCTCTCCCATCATATGCCTGGTCCGGCCGAGACAGCAAAAAAGGATATAAGGGCACACGCAACCCTTGCCATCCCCGCTCCCAGAAACACAAAGCGAGGAATACACCGCGGCTCGGACACGGGGCAAGCGAGCATCGCGGTCGGCGGCGATGAGGTCGGTACCAATTCACACCCCTCTGTTTTGTGTGGGCAAACGGCTCCGCCCATGAGAGATTACAGATGTGTGCATACTCAAAGACTGGCCATGATAAGCGGTCACTCTTTATCCACGGCTGGGTCGCCGCGTGTTGGTCGACAGGTGTGGCACATCCACCACAACAACACGCCACGGAGAGCGAGGCTCTAGCGACGCAAAGGACAGCAATCCCCGCCACAGCGCAGTCGTGCCGACCAAGCAAAGCGATATACCGCCGCTGTGCACACACTTCGGAAGGCCGCAGCTGCATGGCACCAGTGATGCGCACAACTGTTAACAGCGGGGCGGCAAGCAGTTTCCTTCGCCCGTGCCTCACTCCAACAACAAAAGCAGCACAGAAGGCCGCCATGGTTCCTGTAGCAACAAATTCCTTTCGGGAATAGCCGTGACAAAATCCTTTGTGTGGGTGCCGCGGCCGGGATCAATTCTCTCCGCAACGGGGACGGATGCCCCCTCGCAATCCTTGTCCAGTAGATGCCGGTGAAACCGTCCTGCTCCACACCCTCTCCTCGCCGTCCCACGAAACCACCGGAAGTAGGCTACCGCTGGTGGCGGATATCGTGCACACCTGCGCGTGGCCACGGCAAGCAACGCTTCCCTCACCGTGCGGTCGAGTGGCCCACGCAATCGTCGCCCCGTCCGTGCATGGGACCCAACGGACGCCGCCCTTTTCGACCACTCTAAGACGCACCTGCATGACAAGGCACCCCAATGCCGCATGCATGGCAGCACTCAGATACGTCTCCTCCGGGTCCCTCGCATCTGTCGTGTTCGTGGGAAGCGTGCCCGGACACCACGAAGAGAGCCTATCCCCGGGCATCGCAGACAAACATTCTCCCCGCCAAATAACAGCGTCAGCATCCCTCACATCCAGTGCGGGATCAATGATGAGGCAGCTGTCCATCGGGCGTTCTGCGGACATTTTGTGGACACTCCCCAAACACCAGCCACTGGAATACAGATCCGACGCGCAGCATTCGACGGGTACGCCCAATTCGCACAGCATGTGGGGATATTCACTCATGTTCAGTGCAGAGCAATTCCTCTGCTGCTGCAGCGCACAGCACGAATTCCCGCACCAACGCATCGGCTCCGTCATCCCCCTGCTCACCCTCATGCAGCCCAGGGCAGCCAATGCAGCAGCGTCAGCTCCGCGCAGTCGCCGGCACCCCCAATCGCCGCCATCCACTCATCCCTCGCGTGGCGCCACGACCGGTGCGACTCCAGCGTCCTCCCGTCCCCATCGTCATCCTGCTGCTCCACGCCATCAACGTCGTCGCAGTCGTGGTGCTCCCTCGCTGCCATCGCGGCAGTCGTCGAGTGCACCACCACCGACAGCGCCCCGCCACGCACACAGGCAGCATTCCTCACCATGCCGCGGCCTGCCATGTGCGGGCAGGCAAACCCGACAGCATGGGCCATCAGGTGCGCGGCGATGCGGGTGGCGAGGCGTCCGTGAAACAAGACGGCCGGGCAATGTTCATGGCGCCAGCGACGGGACGGCCATCCTCCAGCGTGGCGCACGGCAGTGCCCACACACCACCCGGCGCAGCAGCCACGCACTGCACCATGTCAGAATTGGCAGCACCAGCGGAACGATGCTCAGCAGGCACAGTGAACCAACTGCAAACACTGCCAGTGGCGAGTGACGGCACAACCAACGGACGCTCCAGTGGCTGGACGAGCAGACGATCCGCATGCAGTTTGACAGCAGCAGGGAAAACCTCCTCGGCAACAGCGTTCCCGTGCGCAGACGACAGAGCACCATTCTTGCAGCCAAACGCGCCGTCCAATGCATTCGCTGTGCAAAACCAGGAGAAGCCGCAGTGCCTCCTGCTGTCACACGGGTCCGTTGTTGGCGCCTTGATGCGGACGGGCACCCATCGGTCCCTCCAAACGACGCTGCACACCTGCAACGCATCCTGCGCTCCGAGAGGCACGTCTCCCACCACACCCGGGGACGCCCACACGCCGCCGGCACGCACCGCATCGTCAAGGAAACAGGGATACGTCAGGATGAGAGCAGGACACCCGCCGGCAATTCACATCGCTGGCATCATCACAAGCAGCAGCACTGCAGGCCGCGGGGCAACGTGGATCAACCGACGCATGGCGTATGTGGAAGAAAAAACGTAATGGCCTGACGAGGATGCAAGAGGCTGGCACCTCTACAAAAAGAAAGAAACGGTATGAGAACACAAAGAGGAGATTTAAACGCCCGCAGTCAATGCAAGCCACTGATAAAAAGGGTGGAATGAGTGCACTCAACCACAACACGAGCAGAGACTCAAAGAAGAAAAGAAAAAACAAGAAGCCGAAGCGTGGGACGACCGAAGCACACACTCTCATTGCTCCCGTAAAGCAAAACACACACACAGGGAGAGAGAGAGAGGTCGCCCACTCAATGCAATAAAAACAAAACAGTTACGGTGCTCCGCCCATGCAGCCAGGCAGGACGGCAGCGGTGCGTGTGGTACAAAAGAGAGAACCAACGGGCCTGCATGGGTGTGCATTCACAAATACGTGAACAAATTATGTGTGTGCTTATTAGGCTGAGGTGAGGGCGAGATTCCATGCAAGGGGACACACACAGAGAGAGAGAAGGACGAGTTTGTGTGCGGGCGGTGCACGGCTCTCTCTCCCTCACTCTCACGCGGCCACCACCGCAGCAGCAGCCGCACACGCAAGAAGAAAAAGAAAAAGAGGGGAGGTGGTGTGGGAGGCCGCGGTGCTGCCGTCACTCTCGTCAGGCGTCCTCGTGGCACCTGCTTGAGCGGCGGCGACTGTTGCTGGTGTTGGTGTTTTTTCCGTCGTATTACCATCTTCAGTTTCGCCTTGTTGTGCTGCTTCTGGCTGCTGCTCTGACACGCCATTCGCGGAGCTGCGCTGTTCATTCCCTGGTTCTGCTTCTGGATTTCCTTCCGATTCTTCTTTCGTCGTCAATACCGCTGGTGCCTCTTCTCTTGTATTTTTTGTTCCCTCTTCTCCTTCTTTTGTTACTTTGGGTTCTTCGGTCTTTTTGTCTGGAGGTGATGTGGGAGGGCTGTGGGTGTCTTCACCGTCCTCCGATGCTGCGTGAGACACATCGGGGTCGGTGTCTCCGTCTTCTGGTGTTTGATGGTCGCTGGCAAGGTCCCCACCAACAGCCAATTGAGTACCAACAACTGTGTTTGGGCCTCCACCTCCACCACTCCCAAGGGTTACGGCGGAGTCAGGATCCTCTTCAGATGTGTCAGAGGGCTCGTTGGACGCAGAACGGTCGCCAGGTGTATTTGACGCCGGCTGGGATGGAGCCGGAGGGGACTCGCTACCTCCACTCGGTGCGTGTCCTGCGGAGCCCTTAGTTCCGTCTGCACCACTTCTTGCCCTGTCACCGCCATTTCCAGTCGAACCAGTGGAAGAATCAATCTTACCCGATGCTGAATTCGTTTCACCCAAAAATGAAGATCGAAATGAACTGTTATATAAACCCTTGTACTGATTAGAATTAATGCAAGATTCCTCCCCGCTTCCACATTCCTTGTAGAACCACGCGTAGCCACCGCAGGCACCGCACCACAGCACGCAGAGGGCACACACCAGCAGCACACGGCCAGTCATCATCATCGCCATCACTCCTGTCACTTGCGTGTAGCCTTCAGCACAAAATAACAACACGTCAACGCAGAGCGGAAGCAAAAGTATAGACACGGCCGCTACACCACGCACAGCCACCGCACAGCCACAAATGGCAGCAGCCCAGCAGCGGTAGTGCACACACACCATGAGGCAGTTGGAAGCAGTGGAAGGGCAAAAACACACAACGCCCCGCAGCAAGTAAACAGAAAAACACACAAAAACACAATTAGAAATAAAACACAGGTAAAAGAACAGCAATGAAGTAAAAAAAAGTAAAAACACGCAAAACAAAGGGCTGCACAGTATGGCTCCAGCGCGCACGCACCCATCCTCAAATGTGGCTCCACGCAAACAGTTGTGTGCGTGCCATGCATATGAGTCTGTCTGGGATGCGCTCAACGTGACGGATGCGGGGAGCGGCAAGGAGCACACAGCAGGACAGCGAATGCAAATAAAAACAGTAAAACACAATCATCATTTTTTTCGTATTTATTACTTAGGAAAACAATAGACGCGCACAAGTCCCCGCGGCTGAGTGCTGGCACGCACAGCCCACACAAAATTCTCAGCCCAGAGTGGTGTACGCAAGCGCAGCCAGAGCGAGCAGCAGCGGGGCATGCAGACGGATGTCATGGAAGCAGGCATCATTTCCCGCACTGCTCTCCAGCGCCTTCGTTGTGGGCGCAGAGGAAAGTGGAGCCGGCATGCCTGCCGCCGTAGGATTTCCCTCGCTGGTGGCCGTGTCGGTGGTGTTGGTATTGTCTCCGTGCGCCACCGCGGCAGCAGACGGCGGGGTGCCGTTGGGAGTCCCCTCCGCTGCGGAGTTTTCACCCGGACCGCTGGCAGCAAACTGGCCGCCTGGGGATGGGGATGTTGGCTCAGCGTCACCCCCTGCTGGTGTGCTCCGCGTGGCATCTGATGCGGCTGCCGTTCCTGGCTCTGGCGAACCGTCGCCTGTAACGCCTTGGTTTCCTGCCGCCGGCAACTGTGACTGCAGCTGCTGCGCTGATTGTGGTTCTGTTGTTACACCGGAGGTCGCTGGTTCACCGGGTTCCGCTGACTTCGGCAAATTTATCGGCCCTGTTGGTGCTGGTGGTGCTGGTGGTAGTGGTGACGGAGGTGCTCCTACCTGCTGGTTTAATTCTTCTGCTTTACCTTCATCTTCTTTCGATCGACCCGAGCCACTTCCCTCCGAACCGTGGGCCAGCCTCCCGGCAGAACCCTCGCCACTCAGTGGATCACTCGCCTTCCCTGCCGGCCCGGCATTTTCCCCTGTGACAGAACCTCCAGCTGCATTTTGTGGAGACGTTTCCCCAGTTGCTTTACTGCAAAAAGAAAAAATTTCGGGAAAAGCTTTACAGTACGTGCCGTTTGCCCCATAATAATATGCATGTACCTCATCGTTGAAAAACCACGCGTAGCCACCGCCGGCACCGCACCACAGCACGCAGAGGGCACACACCAGCAGCACACGGCCAGTCATCATCATCGCCATCACTCCTGTCACTTGCGTGTAGCTTTAAGCACAAACTAACTCCCCGTCAACGCAGAAGAAAAAAAAAAAGTCACGGCACAGTAACAAACGCCACCAGCGGAAACAGCAAACACCACGCACGACACTCACTCCAATCCACGGCAACAGGCACACACACACGCAGCCCTGCCGCAACACCAACACACAGATGGAGGAGGAAACAGGAGCGGCACACAAGGCTCCACCGCATGTACATACGGCAAGAGCGATCCGTCGTGTCGGCACCCCTCACGAAGGGTACGCACACACACATACAAGAGGGTGCAGCGCACACAGCAACACAACAGCAAAGTAACAAAAAAGAGAAGATCTCCACACACAACGCGGATTGTTGGTCCACGGGAGGCGCAGTCAATATTCATCACAAAAACAGTTCAGTCGCCTTCGGCCTTCCTTCATATTCAGCGCACACCACCTCATGCAAGCGCGGCCACCACCGCAGCTGCAGCCGCACACGCAAAAATGAGCGCAGGAAATGGAATAAAGCAGGCAGCCATTTATTTGTGTTTCTGTTTGGATGTTGGCCGATGCCTGAATATGTCTGTGAGCTCCTTCAGAGGGCAAACCCTTATGCCTGGGTCGTGTGTTGGGGTTTCTGCAGGGTGACCAATTTCTTTTTTTCCTCTTGTGGGTTTTTCTTGTGTTGGTGCAGCCAAGAATTCAATTTGTATTGTTCCTGCTTTTCGGTGGCAAAGTGTTGCAATAGGTGTTTCCTTCGTTCGTCGCTGTGACACATGATTCCTCACCGTTTATTGCGGTGGAAATAAAAAACATGTGAGTGAACTCCCACGCACCAGAACGCACCTTCGCTCCTATTTATTGGCGCATGGAAAGACATTTGTGTTTGGTGGTGTCTCGTCCATATATTCTTGTGGGTGAACATTCCCCTGCAGGCTGAGGGCGGGATGACGCTCTGCCGCGGTGCACTTCCCTCGCATGCCGCCCACTGTGATTCATCATGCATCACCCCCTCACACATTCCGTGGTGCCGCACCGTCGATATTATTGCAGCCGCTGTGATTCCGCGTATTTCACGCATTTCATTGTGCCACAATACATCCGCTCGTGTGGCCGCCGCATCCAAACAGCGGTGCCCAACACCGTGAGCGGCAGTCCACATCCTTGCATGCCCCAACGCAGTGGTGCTGGACTGTCAGCCAGGCGTCAGACAACAAGAGAGTACTGTGCTGGCAGTACAACACACGGAGCTGCAGTGAATGACTCGGGCGGCGACGCATCTATTTGTCGCAAGGCAGTGAAAAGGAGTCGGGCAAAATAATGCCGGCTGCATTCACGACACCATATCCACAGCCAAAGCATGCGACGTGATGCGTGTTTCACTGGTGCTATGAAATGCCTGCAGACGACGTCACTAGTGGAGGCACACCACCCATGATCAGCGGACAGACAATAATCGGCATGGGAGGCAAAAAAAGGCAGCAACGACGCCAACAGCAGCAACAGCTCTCTCTCTCTCTCTCTGTTGCCTCCGAGAAGTAAATATTCCACCAGCCACAGCCGGCTGTGCAATCGTGACACTCCATGCACGTCGTGGCTGCGTCAACACATCCTGCTCCCTGCAGCGCCTCAAAAGATGCCTCAATCCGTCCACTAAGTGCATCGATGTGGGCCGTGCCTCGGCTGTGTGTGAGGACCACAGCGATGTGAGGGTCACCGAGTCGCAGCATGTTTGTTGTGACGCTGTTGCATGGCACCTGCACACACACGCAGCGCCTGCATCCTCCCTTTTGTGTCCACCCTCCGCCGGAGTGGCCACACACACGGGCAGCAGCAAATTCATTTCACCCTCGACAATCCAAAATCAACACTGACATCCCTCGCGACGCAAAGATCTCAGTTGCCAGCACGGGCCTCCCGTCGCTCTGCCATCGACGCTAAAACACGGCACAGTGCACGCACTCATTTTCTTCGTGCTCCGTCAGCCGTTTGCTTCACACATTCTCCAACGGGATGGCGACCATAAAAGCACGCCACAAAAGCCACTGTGATCGCGCAAGCTCTTGCGACGAGCGTCTGTGTGTGCATGGATCCGCTGCTCACACGTGCTGGCAGGCAGCCCGCAGCCGGTGCCCTCGTGCCAGTTCATCGGCTCCAGCATGGGAAAGAGAAAACAGCCTATTCCCGATGCACTTATTCCCACCAGCAGCACCAACACGCTGGTCGCCAGCCGTCATTCCTCAGCAAATCCAGAAATGCTGAAGAGTGGCGTGGAACTGTCAGCCAGCAATGCCACAATCCCCGCACACATGTCGGCTCCACCAGAGAAGAAACAAAAACTACACACAAAACCCTTCACATGTCATCCGAACATCATTCCGACACACCGCGACACGCCAAACAGAAGTATTCGTCACTCCATTCACCTCCCCACACAATCAAACAGTCCATGCACCATGCACGGCAGCAGCTCACACCCGTCTAAACAAGTGCTCTTCGGAGCAGTGTTACCCACGTCCTGCAGTGGGAAGTAAACAAACGAGACGGGCTGCCAAACCCCAAAGGAGTGACACGACTGGCCGCAAGTCAACGGAGCGCTGCCACTCAAAACAATTCAGTCCTCATGCCCTCAGCCTCCCACCTTCTCCCACAATAGCCCCAAGAGCTGCAAATCAAACGCGCAACGCCCCTTCCCCAGCAGCAGCCAACGGAGCGCAAGCCCCGCTGCACACACCACGACGATTCCCCTCATCGTGCCGACGGTCCGCAGCGTCAGCTCAGCGCCACACTCCACCGCCCCGCCGTCCCACGAAGACGCCTTTCCTCCAACAAAATAAAACACCAGCGGATATTCGCCTGGGCCGCCGGCCGGACTCTCAACCTGTCTAAAGAAACCAAGCAAAACAGAAGGAAGGGGCGAACGGAGGGGCAGTGGGTTCGCAATCTACTCAGTGCTTGCTCCAACCACATATATGCATTTATATATATTCGGACTGCCACTCTCGTGACATGCTGCGCGTTGTTGGGGTTAGAAATACTATGACTTACGAAGTGGCAGACTTCGGAGTCCTCCAGCCACAAGACACCGCCGCATGGTGGGAAATCAAAAAAAAGGGGGCTGCTGGGACGGCAAAAACATAAATAACTCATCAATTTCTTCTCACCGCCATCGGCGCCCTAATTACTTCCATCGAGGCCATCCAATCGACCACAAGACAGAGAAAAAATACCGCACAGAAATGTCTTCGTTTTATCAGAATATATATTAATTTAGGCAGCCAGTCCTCGTCGCAAGCATCCTGGTCACAAGCACCTATTCTTCGGCTCGTCCACACACTTCATTTACCGCCCATCCCACAACACACACAATAGGAGAAGCAAAGGATCATTACACAAAGCCAAGGCAAATAAATAAATAATAATGGGGAATCACAGCCCACACGGGGCCCTCGCACACGCACACAAACGCCCCCACGGCATTCCTCAGAAGAAGCCAAACAGACTGGTACTCGTAAACCATCAAAAATAAAAAAGGTGCGTGGTGCCTCGACATTGGCAGTCAACAAAAGAGAGGCAGAGTCTATAGAGCATGTTCCTGGCATAAAGTGTACAGACAAACAGAACGTATATATATAGAGAGAGGCATATCAATTGGCATGGGTTTTTCTCTCTTGCATCCACTGCTGAGTGCCATCCACGCAGGAAGCAACAGCAGTCGCCTCGCCGTGCAACGGAACCCATGCCGCCGCTCAACAGAGTGGTGCCACGGCGGCGGCAGCGGCAAGCAGAAGAAGCAGCGTCATTGCCGTGGATCGGAGGCGGGGCGTCCGTCAGGTCTGCCTCCCAATCCCCGCGCCCCACCGCCGCATCATCATCGCTCCGCGGAGGGTCCACGGCGCCCTGCGCGGCATCGGCGGCGACATCGTCGTTGCACGGAAGATCGCCCTTCCTCAAAGCCTCCTGCGGCGCACCCGCGGTGTCGCTGGGCGAGATCACCCCGTCGCCTGTCGGAGCATCTGGGGCGACTGCCTCTCCTCGGGCGACGGATTCTTCTGGGGTGCAGCCAAGTCGACATCCTTCGGTGGGGTGCCGCGGCCGGAATCAATGCTCTCCGCAACGGGGGCGGATGCCCCCTCGCAATCCTTGTCCAGTAATTGCCGGTGGGACCGTCCTGCTCCACACCCTCTCCTCGCCGTCCCACGAAACCACCGGGAGTAGACTGCCGGCGGCGGCGGATATCGTGCACACCTGCGCGTGGCCACGGCAAGCAACGCTTCCCTCACCGTGCGGTCGAGTGGCCCACGCAATCGTCGCCACGTCCGTGCATGGGACCCAACGGACGCCGCCCTTTTCGACCACTCTAAGACGCACCTGCATGACAAGGCACCCCAATGCCGCATGCATGGCAGCACTCAGATACGTCTCCTCCGGGTCCCTCGCATGCGTCGTGTTCGTGGGAAGCGTGTCCGGACACCACGAAGAGGGTCTATCCCCAGGCATCGCAGACAAACATTCTCCCCGCCAAATAACAGCGTCAGCATCCCTCACATCCAGTGCGGGATCAATGATGAGGCAGCTGTCCATCGGGCGTTCTGCGGACATTTTATGGACACTCCCCAAACACCAGCCAATGGAATACAGATCCGACGCGCAGCATTCGACGGGAACGCCCAATTCGCACAGCATGTGGGAATATTCACTCATGTTCAGTGCAGAGCAATTCCTCTGCTGCTGCAGCGCACAACCCGAATTCCCGCACCAACGCATCGGCTCCGTCATCCCCTTGCTCACCCTCATGCAGCCCAGGGCAGCCAATGCAGCAGCGTCAGCTCCGCGCAGTCGCCGGCACCCCCAATCGCCGCCATCCACTCATCCCTCGCGTGGCGCCACGACCGGTGCGACTCCAGCGTCCTCCCGTCCCCATCGTCATCCTGCTGCTCCACGCCATCAACGTCGTCGCAGTCGTGGTGCTCCCTCGCTGCCATCGCGGCAGTCGTCGAGTGCACCACCACCGACAGCGCCCCGCCACGCACACAGGCAGCATTCCTCACCATGCCGCGGCCTGCCATGTGCGGGCAGGCAAACCCAACAGCATGGGCCATCAGGTGCGCGGCGATGCGGGTGGCGAGGCGTCCGTGAAACAAGACGGCCGGGCAATGTTCATGGCGCCAGCGACGGGACGGCCATCCTCCAGCGTGGCGCACGGCAGTGCCCACACACCACCCGGCGCAGCAGCCACGCACTGCACCATGTCAGAATTGGCAGCACCAGCGGAACAATGCTCAGCAGGCACAGTGAACCGACTGCAAACACTGCCAGTGGCGAGTGACGGCACAACCAACGGACGCTCCAGTGGCTGGATGAGCAGACGATCCGCATGCAGTTTGACAGCAGCAGGGACAACCTCCTCGGCAACAGCGTTCCCGTGCGCAGACGACAGAGCACCATTCTTGCAGCCAAACGCGCCGTCCAATGCATTCGCTGTGCAACACCAGGAGAAGCCGCAGTGCCTCCTGCTGTCACACGGGTCCGTTGTTGGCGCCTTGATGCGGACGGGCACCCATCGGTCCCTCCAAACGACGCTGCACACCTGCAACGCATCCTGCGCTCCGAGAGGCACGTCTTCCACCACACCCGGGGACGCCCACACGTCGTCGGCACGCACCGCATCGTCAAGGAAACAGGGATACGTCAGGATGAGAGCAGGACACCCGCCGGCATTTCACATCGCTGGCATCATCACAAGCAGCAGCAGCAGCAGCACTGCAGGCCATGATGGGGTGTGCGGCAACTCATGCATTGTTGTGACTGTTAGGGAATTATTTCGTGGCTTGATGAGGCATTAGAAACCGATATCATGGACAGGGTGGGAAATAAATAAAGGCACAAAAAGAAGTTGCAGGAGTCGACAGAACAGGAAAGCCTCCAGATAAAAAATAAGCCTGTAACCATGCAACGGGAAAAGGACCAAAAAAAAAAAAAAGACTAGGAACAAAAAAATGCCGTTGACGGCTGTGCATGACTGTTTCTTCGCCTCCAACCATAAATTGTTGTGTGTCTCAGCATTATTCCCATATCCTTCTTTTTCTTTTTCTTCCCTCCTCCATCTGTCTCTCTCTCTCTCTCTCTTTCTTTTTTTTTTTTCCTCTCGTAAAAATCTATTTACATATTATTTGAACCACAATTCAAAATATTTTCTTTTCCCTCTCCATACCATCTGGTATTTATATATCTTCCTTTTCTCCCGTCATTCATTCTGCCGTTATCATTTCATTTCATTCCTCTCGGTTTTTTTGGGCCATTTGCGGGCAGGTGCTGCATCGTTGCGCTTGTCACTACCATGGGTATCCGCCTCAGTTACTCCACGAGGCGATAGGAGACATTGTAGTGACCAGGGCCGGGTGCTCGCGGGTACTTCCGCTGCCACCGCTCCGACTGCAGCCGGTGTCCACAGAATTGGGTTTCTTTCGTGATTTGCTTTTCAAACACAGGCACCGACTTGCCTCTCCGCGGCAGATCAATGTTGTACACCGTGTGGGCGCCACAGCCTGCCGTGGAGAATATTTTGGCACGCTTCTCACGTGACACTTGCGTCTCTATCATGGGATTTCCCTTCACTCGAGACTCTACAAGTTTGCGATTGCTTGTATCGTACCATAGGTCCTTTGTTATGAGCGGCGGCAGTGACACGGTGGAGACCACACCAAAATCCACTGTGCGCTCTGTCCTTGGCTTAACCCACCTGAGGTTTGGCACTTCACCAATTTCTGTCGGGTTTGGTCGGTGCAGTGGTGCATGTCCGGGGGCTTTTGCGTGGATAATAGCGCATGGTGTACGTGCGGTGACCTGTGTAAACTCAACATTCTCCGAAGCCTCATAAGAATTCAGCGGCGCCGAAGTACTCCGGCCAACCATTGTCGAAAACCGCCGCACCCTCCTCGCCTCACACTGATCGAAGATGCTCTTCGGGAAGTTAAGGTCTCTCTCAATGGAAACAGTATTATCGGGTGCCTTCGGACGTTCGTCGTGGCCGTCCTCTGGAACTTGCGCAGCCATGGTCGCCACACGTCTGCGTGGTCGCACCATCTTCAGGGCGTTCGTGACATCAATGTACTCAGGCACCGATTGGTACGCGGGTGGCTTGTTCAGCCAATGTCCCTCACGTCCAGTGTCACGGTCCATGCAGACCAAGCGATGTGGATGGCTTGAGATGTCCGTAGCCACGTTATACATGCCCACTGTTGCGGATGTCGCCATGCATTCATGACGACGCTCGGTGCGTTTGACATCAAATTTCACGGGGCAGCGGGAGCGTTTCACGGTGGAGCGTACATCCGCATACGGGTAGTATTGTAAATCCTTTGC